ATGCAGTATTGCCTAAAATAGTCAAACACTAAAATTTCTCAACTTAATGGAATATTTTATACCATTAGAATATCCCTGTAGAGCTTGCGATGAACACACACACACTATTATATATAAGATAGATAACCAACAAGGACCTACTGTATAGCACAGGGAACTCTATCAATATTCTGTGATAACCTACCTATATGAGAAAAGAATCTAAAAAATAATGAATATATGTATATGTATAACTGAATCACTTTCCTGTACACCTGAAACTAACACAACATTGTAAATCAACTATACCCTAATAAAATTTTAAAAATAAAGTCTTGGAAAGCTACATGAAATATTTGTGCTAAAACGTTATATGACAAAACCATGGTACAGAATCAAACCTATCCTATCATGACAAGTTTGTAAACAGTATCTGTGCAGAAAAGCTGATATATTATGGTCGTGGGACTCTGTGTTGTTTTTTCTTGTTTTCTTTAGTATTGTCATAACACTGTTTGCATAGCTCATACAATTGGGAGAAAGAAATACAATTACAGTGGCTTCCTAGGCCTGCCCCAACTTCTTAGGGGTTGAACAGTCAGATATCTTAGGACGCATCAGACTCACGCTCCAGAAGAACCTGGCTTGTGGGGTTGGGGAGAGGCGGTTGCCCTTTTACATTTGCGTCTACCCCCCTCACCCCAGAAGCAAAATAATCTGCTCAAAAGAGCTTCTGGTTCTTCTCCTCCCCTGACAGAAGCACAACTTCCTCCCCGTCCTATTCCAGGAATTAGTAGTTTTCTCCTCTGTTCTGCTCAGGTCAGATCCTGAGCTACTTCTGCTTTCAAGGATGGGAAGCAGGAGGAAGTATTTCAGGGGTGGTGGCAGTGCACGTCTGACCCTGCCCTGTGACTGACCTCTGGCCAACCATGTTCTTAGTGTGATTTTGGTGGAAATGCCCAAGACGCCCATCAAGCCTGTGGTAGGAATTTTTCTCTGATCTGCCTGACGTTTGGCTCCCTGCTTGGACAACTGAGGGAGCAGGTGGAAAAGTCTAGAATGCTTCCAACTGAGTGACAGGCAACTCTGATGCCAATATACCATTTATGTGTCATTGGGGTCATGCCGGCCATATCATGGTCAGCCCAAGACACAGTGGGTCAAATAATTATAGCTAATGTTGACTGAATATTCACTACGTGCACTCTGACATCTATTATCTCATTTAATCATCACAACAACCCCAAGGGGTGAGTACTATTATTACCATCATTTCCCAGTTGAGGACAACGGGGTCCAGAGAGTAACTTGCTCAAGGTCCCAGGCTTATAGAGCTAGGATTTTAACCCCCCAAGTCTGGCCCCAGGCATCAAAGGCTTAACCAGATTGTTGAGGATAACATTCAAGTGGAACTTTCCTTGGCAATTCAGTGTAATGGAAAAACAATATTTTGTTGTTGGTACTTCCCAGAACCTTCTTAGGAGGGTTGATCCTGTGAGGCAATTGCCTTTGAATGTGGTATGTCAGGCAAATTGGAGGGGTTTAGACAGAGGTAAGTTGTCTGGCTAGGTGAGGGAAAAGAGATTTGGAGAGATGGGTCTGAGAGATTGTGGTGGGGATAGAGGAGCCTTGATCCTGGGTGCTGCACGGGGCAACAGGAGATGGAGACCCTGCTACCTTCTTTCTCTTGAGAGCAAAGCCAGGAAAGTTTGGGAGAAGAAACACGGCAGAGAGGATTTGTAAGGCTGAGCATGGAGAATCATTTGACAGCAAACCCACTTGTTTGAAGGAGGTGAGGGAGTGACCCATGCAAAGATCTGGGGCAAAAATACTCCAATCAGAGGGAAGAGCCGATGTGCTGGACTTGAAGAACTGCAAGGAGGCCAATGTGGCTGGAGTGGGGGGAGCAAGGGCTCAAAGAGAAGGAGAGGCAAGGGTGGAGGCTGGGACGACAGATCACGCAGGGCCTGGTAGGTTATGGAAAGACTGGCTTGGACTCTCAGCGAGGTGAGGAGACTTTGTAAGCTTTGGAGCAAAGGAATAATATATGCCTTGTGTTTTGAAAGGCTCCCTCTAGCTACGATGTTGAAAACTGACTTTGTGTTGTTGGAGGGAAATAGAGAAGCAGTGGGGCACAGACAAGGTCTAAGGCTCCATTCCAGGTGGGACAATGGTGGCTTCCACAATTTTGGTAACAGTGGAGTTGGTAAGGAGGGGTTATATTTTTGAACATATTTGAAGGTAGAGCCGTAGGATTTCCTTATGACTTTCAGTCTGAGTGACTGTAAGTGTTACTGACCAGGGTTTTTGGCCTTCCCCAATCAACTGAAATTGAGAAGAGGCCAGTGAGGAACTTCAGGCAAGTCTGTATTGGGGTTCCTGCAGCTGTAGGAGGGGGTAAAAACAAGTAACAGGTTTCCTTGCTCGCTCCCCGAAGGGGGTGGGGATGAGCCAGCTCTTTATATGGGGCGAGGGTAGGGGTGTGTCCAGGGGGTGGGGTTGGAGGCGTGGCTTAGGTGGTTTGCCCACACCTTAGGTGGTGTTGACTGCAGGGGGCATGTGCAGTACCCTGTTTTAGCTCCCTTTTCTTCAGAAGTGGCAGTTGCGTTTGTTTTTTTTTTTTTTTGGTCTTTTTGTATCTTTTGTCCAGAATTTGCCCCAACTGCGCATGCATGCAGTTATAGCCCCTTACAGTTTCTTTGTATTTTGTTGCTCAAGGAGACATTTGTCTGGATGCAAGCATTACAGCACTGCAGCAAAGAGTCCCAGGCGCCAGCCTGTCTCACAGGGACACTACTGCCACTGATTGAAAGTGGGGGAATAGCGCTGCCATGGTGCCCCCAGCCACCTGGCACTACCACATGGGCCACACAGGCAAAGGCTTGAACCACAGCTTGTCTGAGTTTCAGCAGAACGTCTGTGATCTTCCTGGAATAGAGGATGAGGAGCTGCTCGGGGGCCACCCCCTGCTCACCTCCTACGTCCCTTAGGAGGGTCTCAGGAGTCATGACTCATGTCCCAGGTTCTGATTATGCATGAGGCTCTCTGCCTCACCCACCGCCCCCTGCCCCCCCAGCAGAGCTCCAGATTAAAACTGCTTTGTCTCTTAGTCTAGGATATAGCCTCCCTTTTTTGGTATCGTCCTTTTTGTTGTGTAGGACGACTATGGAAGGATTGGTTTTGCTGTCTATGTAAGTAATAAACTGTATGGACCTAACAGTGGCTCATTGTAACTTTACCGGTGGAATCAGTTGTGCCTTGGCCTAGCCTTGTCTCATGCGCTAGAGGCTGAGATGGGCCCAGATGCGGGGAGCATAACTGGGAGTGATCAGGAGTTCAGGTCTAGACATCTTGGTTTGCGGAGCTTGTCAGACATGGGGCGAGCCATTGGCTATCCGAGTCTGGAGCTCAGGAGAGGTCTGGGTTGGAGACAGAAACCGAGGATTAGCAACATATGGGTGATGTTTATAGCCCTGAGCCCACCCAAAGACAGGAGTAGATAAAAAAAGAGGCCCAAGGACTGAGCTCTGGAATCCTCCTTACCAGGTTGGGGAGAAAAGGAGGGATTGGCCAAAGAACCTGGAAGGAGAGATGGAGGTGAAGGAGAAGCAGGTGAGTGAGGGTCCTTGGAAGCCAGTATACAAATTAATCCCTGGAAGGAGTGGGCAAATGTGAAAAGCTGCTCTGGAATCCCTTAAGATGAAGATTGCAAACCAGTTCTTGGAGCTAACCACTTATCCTTGGTGACAGTGATGAAAAAAGTTTTGGGGAAGTGGAGGCTGGGGTGGGGCAAAGGCTGGAATGGAATGGGTTCAAGGGAGAGTGGGAAGGGCAGACCTGGGCACAGCAAATACAGACAACTGGTCTGGAATTTGCTTTGCAAAAGTGACACAAAAAAATGGGGCAGTGGTTGGTGGAGGAAGTGGGATCAGATAAAGTTTGTTTGCTTTTTCATTGAAAGAAATATATTAATTCTGGTGGGAATACCAGATTTTTGTATATACACCAGTGTTGGTTTTATGTATTTGGTTTTATGTATTTATTCCAGAACCAACACCTTACCTTTGCTTATCTGACTTTAAGGTAGTGCTGTGATATGGCATGTCTGGCTATGGAATGGAGTTATGTAATAAGGTATGCTTCATAGTTTTTTAGGCTATTCTTGTGTGTTTTCTGCTCCAGGTGATTTTTAGAATCAGCTTGTCAAATTCGATAATAATCCTGTTGGGTGAGGTTACACTGAATTACCGAGTAATCTGACGGAGAACTGATATCTTTATAATGTTGAGCCTTGTCACCCATGAATATGGCATCTCTCTCTATTCTTTTTTTTTTTTTTTGCGGTACGCGGGCCTCTCACTGTCGTGGCCTCTCCCGTTGCGGAGCACAGGCTCCGGACGTGCAGGCTCAGCGGCCATGGCTCACGGGCCCAGCCGCTCTGCGGCATGTGGGATCTTCCCGGACCGGGGCACGAACCCGTGTCCCCTGCATCGGCAGGCGAACTCTCAACCACTGCGCCACCAGGGAAGCCCTCTCTATTCTTTTATGTCCTTTAGGAAAGACTAATAGCTTAAAAAATAAATAGTTCACACATATTTCATGTTAGATTTATGCTTACGTGTTTTATAGCTTTTTGGTGCTACGAATGGTGTTTTTCCTATTATATTTTCTAATCAGAAAATTAGTCTTAGCTGAACAAGAAATGGATTAGATTTTTATATGTTGATCTTGCTGAATAAGATTAGTTCTAACAAGTTATCACTTAATGGTGTTGGATTTTCATACTATCTGCAAATGATGACTTTTTTGCCCATTGAATCTGCCTCAAGTAGGAAATAGGGTTATGATTCGAGGTTTCTGCTGCCCATCATTTTTGCCCTTGGGGAGGAAACAAAAGTTTCTTCTCTTTGAAGTGGTTTTCCACAGAGTGGGGCTGTGGGTTCTGGATACCCTAATTTACTCAGACTCAGAAAGAAGACAATTGCTCTGGGGTGATACATAACACTGGCATCTTTCATTACACTGACTTGGGTAGAAAACAGATGGGTAGTAAAAAAAAATTTGACAAATATAGGAAAGTAAAATTTCCTTCTAAAAGCTTATTTTAAACTCTTTTCAGTAAATGGAACTGGAAAATTATTTGTTCATATGGACAAAAATGAAACTGGATTCCCTGTTTCACCCTGCACCCAAAAAATTCAACAGTACACAAAGTAAGAAGTTAAATAATGGAAGGAAAAGAAGTATTTGAGAAGAATATATAGATGAAAAAATTTTCTAACTCTGGAGATTTATTAAACAAGTTACAGAAAAGCCTAATAATAAATTTGGCCACATGAAACAAAAGAACTTCTGCACAAGAAAGATGATAATTAGAATTAATAATAGCATCTAACTCATAGTTTGAGCGTGAATATCAGAAGAGATTATGTCTGTGAAAGGGACCCGTAAATCACTAAGCAAATGGTGGGTTTTTTTTAAAGTATAATTTCCGTTTTATTGTCTTTCCAGGGGACCGTATTTCTTTAGCCTTTAAGGACTTAGCTCCTTCCGTGGGCTTTGGCGGAGGTCGTGGCGCAGCACCCGCAGGCCTAAATCGGGATGGAGGTGTTTGGTCCTTCCGGGCTACCGGAGAACGACTCCTGACTACCTTGCTGTGAACGGCACAACTCACGCAGTAATGTAGTTTCACATACAGCTTGGGAAGCACATAGGACAGTTCGCGCCAGGAGCTCACTCACCGTCGAAAACACTCGCTTCGGAAATGTCCCTGACGGCTGCGGTCTCTACGATGTTCCAAATGACGAACTTCTTAACGGCCTTATCCTCGGGCACGCATCGGGCACAGCTGGTGCAGCGAATAGGCTGCACGTGGCCGCGCCCCTTTTTGGCACGACCATTATTCCTTCTTTTCCTGGTCGTCTTGGAAGCGAGGAGGCGAGAGAGCATGGAGGTTGTTTTTAATCTGACCCAGCAAAACGCCTTATGCTCTATTTAGATTGATTTGATGTTAGGAACACTGGTTCACTCAAATTATTTCAAGTTTTGAAGATTTTGTAGTTAAGATTCCATGATAGGCATCATAAACGGATGGGTTCTTGACACCTTGGTTCCTACAAGCTTCATGCAACCTGCTCCTGCAAAGCTTGCCATGGGATTGCAGTTAGTGAGGTAGCTGCAGGTAGTGTAGGTAGCTGCTGCAGTGCTAAGAGCTGAAATACACTGAAATTAACCACAGGTCTTTTTTTTTTTTTTTGGTGCATTATAGACTCAGGGCTCCTAAATAGTTACATCAGAGAGATTCTTCTGGTACAATCGCTATCTAGTTGGGGAGGAAGGATTCTTGGTGCTTGCTATCCTGCCCTCTTTCCAGAATTCTCTCTCTGAGGGAGGGGCGGGGGGATCTCTCTTATGAACCAGGCACTCTTCTGTGCACTGGAAATAGAGTGATGAGCAAGACAGACAAGAATCTCTGCTCTCTGGAGCTTATAGACTCTAGCTGGGGAGTCAGACAATAGATAAACTAAATAAATATGCAATATAATTTCATGTAATAATGAGTGCTATGAAAAAATATCTGAGTATCTGTAGCAGACACTGCAATTGCTCCATTCACGTCCCATCAGTGTTTATCATTCTCATGCAAGCTGGCCAGGTTTCCAGCTGCCAGTACCTGCCTGCCTGAGGGCTCTCTCTGGCTCCTGGAGCCTTCTCTGCCTGGGTGCAGGGCAAATAGGATGCACCAGAGAAGTAAGGCTTTCCCGGAAAGCAGCCCTCCACTGATAGCTGATGTGAGTTGTGGATAAAAAGTCTAGCCCCCTCTCCTCTCAGGTGGATAACTCTGAGGCATGTTCTACCCTGGATTTCAGAGTTCCTCAGTGTATTGAGCTCCAATCATCCACAGCAGTAACTTGTTCCATCTCACAGCTCTTATGGGCTCATTTCCTCACCAGTGTTTCCTGGATCACCTCTCAGATAAATTACTTCCCCTTGTCTCAGTGTTCATGTACAGGGGAACTCAAGCTAAGCTTTTGTCAAGAGTAGGGGTAGGGGATGGATGGGAGCTTATAGCTAGGTGCCCACCTTGTGGTTACCTGGTCAGGTGCACACCATAGGGTGGGTCATTAAGAAAGGCTCTGGGGGCTGGACAATCTTTCTGAGATATTGCCTATGCCTTTCAAGTGGGCCCTTGGCCACTGCTAAGGGCACAGAGGGGCCGTGATATCCGAGCAACTTCCTGTGGTGATCAGAGTGTGAAAGTTTTTTAATCAAAAATAAACCCAGCTTATTTATTTATTTATTTTTGCATTCATTCTTTTTTTAAAAAAATTATTTATTTATTTGGTTGCGCCGGGTCTTAGTTGCAGCACGTGGGCTCCTTAGTTGTGGCAGCAGCATGCATGTGGGATCTAGTTCCCTGACCAGGGATCAAACCCAGGCCCCCTCCATTGGGAGTGTGGAATCTTAAGCACTGTGCCACCAGGGAAGTCCCACCAGCTTATTTATTAAAATATGTCCCCACACCCTTGTTGGTAGCTTCTCATCCTGATCCAATGGTCTTATTTCTTTTTCCTCAGCCTCCTTTCCTGCTAACAAGAATGGGCCCTTTGTTGTTTAAATTACTTATTGGTGTTTTTCTTTTTTTTCTGATTATAAGCATCACTTTTTTTTTTGTAAAAAAGTTTTAAGTACACAAATATATATAGAAGAAAATTAAAATCACCCTGTGGCAGATTGAAGCTGATCACAAATTCTTTGACACACCTCCCACTGAGACGTGACATCTTTGTTCCCCTCTCTTAGAATGTGGTCGAGCTCTGTGACTGCTTGACCACTAGAATATAGTGGAAGTGACTCTGTGACAGTTTCCAGGTCAACACCTTAAGAGACTGGGAACTTTCAATTCTTATCTCTTGGAATACTTGCTCTTGAAGTCTAACCACTATGCTGTGAGCAGCCCAAGCCACATAGAGAGGCCACATGGAGGTCCTCCAGCTGACAGCTCCAACCGAGCTCCTGGCCTGCTGATGGTACCAACTTCCAGCCATGGGAGTGATCTGTTTTGAAAGTCCAGCCGAACTGAGCCTTCAAGGACTCCAGCCCCAGTCACCATCTGACTGCAGCCATCTGAGATTCCCTAGTGAGAACTGCTGAGGCTAGACAATCCACAGCACCATGACACAATGAGAAGTTGCTGTTTTCGACTTGTGGTTGCCAAGGGAGAGGGGATATGCGGCGGGGATGAACTGGGAACTTGAGATTAGCAGATGCAAACTATTCTGTATATGTATAACTGAATTACTTTGTTGTACACCAGAAACTAACACAACATTGTAAATCAACTACACTTCAATAAAATAAAATAAATTAAAAAAAAAGAAGTCGCCGTTTTATTTGGAGTAGTTTGCTCTGCAGCAATAGAGTAGAACAGACCCATTGTCCTATGATCCAGTGACCACCACTATTAACATTTTGGTTTTCCTACACATACGTATATATATATTTTTTTGCAGTACGCGCGCCTCCCACTGCCGTGGCCTCTCCCGCCACAGAGCACAGGCTCCGGACGCGCAGGCTCAGCGGCCATGGCTCACGGGCCCAGCCGCTCCGCGGCACGTGGGATCCTCCCGGACTGGGGCATGAACCCACGTCCCCCGCACCGGCAGGGGGACCCTCAACCACTGCGCCACCAGGGAAGCCCAACACATACGTATTTTTAAACAGGTAATTTTAAAACAAAATGTTCAGAATTTTAATGGAATTGTTTTCAGAGCGCACACATTTCTTTGCTCTGGTTATTAAGAAAGCCGAACTAAGGGCAAGAGAAAATATGTTGGAGAGAGAATGAAAAATGATTGGCTTGGGGAATCACATTAGCAGACACACACAAGTATGGTTTGGTGTTCTATGTAATTTCATGAAGATATGCTGGTGTGTCTTTGAAAACAGCTTGTGCAGACATCTTTGACTGTACTTCTCAGATATTTCTTAGGATAAATTCTTGGAAGTGAAAATTCCAGGGCAAAAGAGTTTGAGGCTTTTTTTTTTTTGGCTGCGTTGGGTCTTTGTTGTTGTGTGCGGGCTTTCTCTGGTTGCAGCAAGTGGGGGCTACTCTTTGTTGCGGTGTGTGGGCTTCTCATTGCGGTGGCTTCTTTTGCTGCGGAGCATGGGCTCTAGGCCACGGGCTTCAGTAGTTGTGGCTCACGGGCTCTAGAGCGCAGGCTCAGTAGTTGTGGTGCTGGGCTTAATTGCTCCACGGCATGAGGGATCTTCCTGGACCAGGGCTCGAACCCGTGTTGCCTGCATTGTCAGGTGGCTTCTTAACCACTACGCCAGCAGGGAAGTCCTGAGGCCGTTTTTTTTTTTTTAAAGCAAAATAATATTAAAAAAGCACCGGGTAGAGGACTTTGCTTGTGGTGCAGTGGTTAAGAATCCGCCTGACAATGCAGGCGACACGGGTTCGAGTCCTGGCCCAGGAAGATCCCACATACCGCGGAGCCACTAAGCCCGGCGCCACAACTACTGAAGTCTGTGCGCCTAAAGCGTGTGCTCCGCAACAAGAGAAGCCACCTCACTGAGAAGTCTTTGTGCCGCAACGAAGACCCAACGCAGCCAAAAATAAATACATAAATAAATAAATTTATATTAAAAAAAAGCACCAGGTTTCTCTGTACCTGAGTTGACCTTACTGATGGCCACACAGGAGGATGCTCTGGCTGACAGGTATTCTCACTTCCCTGGGCAGGAGGGAGGGACATTTTGCAAAGCGTGCTTTCAGGGAGACATGTTCTAGGGGGCAGGTCATAAGTCCATGCTTTGCTGTTCATAATGTTTCTAGAAGCAGGTGGGCAAACAAAGCCACCTATGGGTTGGCGACCCTGATGGTTTGGGCCGGGAGGCTGGGTAGAGGGGGCAGGTCTGGCAGGGCTGTGTGCTCACTGAGCCTTCGTCCTCTTCTTTTGAGTCTCTGACAGACTTCTGCCTCTTACTTCCCTTTTTCGGTCCTTCCTGGCTTTGGTGGCCTCCTTGAAGTGGCTCAGTGGTGCCTGCAGCCTCACGGCTCCTGCTGTCTCCAGCGATGACTCACAGAGTCCTTCTACTAACAGGTGAGCCAGGAGTTGGGGGGCCCTCAGAGTGAGGAGGGGGGGAGTTTTTGGGTTTGTGAGTTTGTGGAGATAAAGGGTACAGAATACTTAGGAGTTAGGCTGGGAGAGACAAAGGGGATTGGGGGAAGGTTAAGGGATTCAAGCAGCAGAGTAGAACTAGACCGAGAGGTGATGAGCAGAGAAGCTTTGGATAAATGACTCAATTCACGGACTATGCAAGGGGGTTTGGCTGGTCCCTTCTTCACAGAGGAGGAAACTGAGGCCCCGAGAGGTGAAATGACACGTCTAAGTGTGCACAGCAGGTCTTGGCTTCTCTTCTTGGAGTGTTTCTTCTTGGATTCCACCTCACCTCCTCCTATTGGTCTCCTCTTTTCCAAAGACTCAGGTGTAAATGTTTGTTGAATGACTGACTGATCAAAATGATTCAAGTTTTTTCCCTTTGTATCTGTGTTTTGTGGACTAAGAGCCAGAGAAGGGAAAGAAATGCTTGAAAGTTGCATAGGAAGGAAATTACCTAACTGAGTCTTTAGGAACTTGATTGTTGGGCAAATCAGTGGGGTGGGAACCCAGGGTGGGGCTCAGAGAGGGGCTGAATGCACCTGTTCATGGAAATGATCAATAAACAAGAAAAGAGTTTTCTTTGAGCCAAACTGAGGACTATAGCCCAGGAGACAGCCTCTCAGAGAACTCTGAGGAACTGTTCCGGAGAAGCATGGTTTTCAGCACAGTTCTATATCTTGTCAGAACAAAGAACATCAAACAAGTCAGGGATATGTTCCTTCAAGGTTAAAAACAAAACAAAACAAACAACAGATCATAGTTGTGGCGCACGGGCTTAGCTGC